ACCTTACTGAAAGCCACAGTTTATTAGGCTGCATATAACTTAGACTTATGATGCACATAGTCAGCTGGCATCACAGGATACAAGACACACTTCTAATCTACCACCTATATACACTTGTGTTACTTTTCCTCACAGTACTGGAGATTAGTATTGATTTACTCCTAGCAGACAAAAAACTTCATTGAATTTTAAGGTCACATTCTTACCAAGCATCTTTTCATCTGGAAAGACTGCACCTTCACAGCCTGAATGGCTTCATCCAGGAGTTTTTCCTGTTCATCCTGAGGAGACTGCTGTGTTATTGGCTGGAAGGAAAAGAAACAACAACAAAACAAACAAACAAAACCAAACAGAATTCAGTAATTTTTATGAAGCTGTTTATGACTTGATTCAAACCAGATTCCCGCAGTTTAGAATACAGTGCAAGTGACACTGCAGTGTGACCATTCAAGAGTTATCAAACAGCGGTGTGATATGTAAGGGAGAGAGCTCCCAGGACTCCACAAAAACCTCAGGTCAGGGATGAGACTGGTAGCTTGTGAATGCCACTGCTTCTTGGAGTGCAAAGCTAAGGAGACTGAACAGGGTCAACTTTTCCCTTCTGACATTTAGAGGTCAAGAATCCAGTGCAAGATCTGGCAAGAAAAATCTTCAAGAGAATGCAAAGACATCACTATGCTGAGAGGAAACATTGTTACTTCTTTACTAAGAGCTTCAAAGCAAAGCCCAGACTGCACACACTGCAAGTGCACAGATGCTTTCCTGTACTTAAAATTCTCAATTACCTGCTGTCTGAGCCACAGGACTCTTAAAGACAAACTTTAGATAAGCAAAGGATAAAGTACCATCAGTACTTTCTGGAAGGTAGAAATGACTTACAAAAGGCAATAGAAAACTGAAGAGAAGCAACAACTCTTCATGTCCACTACTAAGCACAGTCACCTCTTCCTCTTACCTCTCCTCAAAGACCTTCAACATCTTTTGCCATTCCAAGGATCATACCGCATTTCCTTATTATTCAGAGAGTATCCTCTTTTTAGCTGTACCTGAGTAACAAGCTAGTAGGCTATGAGCTACATCATCCTAATATTCTTAAAACTAGCATCCTCAGTAGCACCTCCTCCCACACACCCCATGAGTGCAGTCCCCCTAAATATCTTTTGAGCACTGAGGTTAAAACTGAGATCTTCATTAAAATAGAGAGGCTTTAACTTATCAGAACTTCCTGGTTATAGAGCACTGCAGCCTTGGCACACCCCTGTTTTCTCCCATATTTAATTAGGTTCTTGTTCTGCAATTGGAATCTCCCTAAAGAGACACAGACAGTATTTTCCCCTTATTCTCCCCTGTACCCTTTTCTACATACAGAAAAGAGACAATGCCAAGCAACATTCTTCTTGACTCCATCACACTCAAATAGGCAGTGAAACTGCCCTTGAAGGTTTTCCATCACCCAGTTAGACAAAATCAAGGCTGATCTGACCCGACATTGGTGATAATCCTCCTTCAAGAAGAAAGTTATAGGAGATAAAGGTTCCTTCCAACCAACACTTCCATGACTCAATGTGCCTCAGTAATACTCAAACATTGCAAAATAACTAATTAACAAGTCTATTTAGTCAACAGAAAAAGCCACCTATGCTAATTAGAGTGGCTGCACGTCTTACAAAGCTCTCTCTATAATTAACAACAAAGTGCAGCTCTTTCAAGAAAGAATTTAAACATAAGGGAACAGTAGCATCCATGGCTAGATGACCCTACTTGCCAGGCCATTCAGTAGGTACAAACTCTTGGAAAACATCCAGCTATGAAGCAAGAATGTTCTGCCAGCAAACTTTGCTGCAATTGCTAAGCTTTATTTATTCCACAACAGATCAGAATTTCAAGGAACAGAAGATGACAGTGCTGGGACTAGTGTGCAACAAATATCAAAACATCACATAACAGACTTGTTGAATTATGCCTGTAACAGAACATTTGTCACACTCTACCATCCCCTGAACCTACACTAGTGTTTTAGAAAAGCTACATCACTACTAAGAGGAATGTCATATGCTGTAGCCACATCAGATCTCTCTATGTTAAAGCACAGCCAGAAACAGCACAGTAACGTTGACACTGACCATAACTTCCCATGTCCCCTTCTTCTAATGGGCATTAAGCTTACACAGCCACCAGTCCTGCCCTGCCATCCCCAGTTGTCCATAGGACTGAGTAGTGCTGGGAGAGCTGTTTAGGCTGTAAAGCATCAAATAAGTTAGAAGACTAGTCTAGCTGATCTGCAGTTTACCATTCACCCTACAACCACATAAAACATTGCAAGCAGGAGTACGAGAAGGCAGCCTTTTGAGAGCAACACCAAGTTAAAGCATTTATTGAAACACTTGCTACAGCTCTAAGTGGTTGGCAGAGTACACGTGCATCGCTTTCCTTACTTTTGGTGTGAAATACACTGGTTGAAGTATAATGGCTACTATAAGTTTGAGACTATGCTTTACATGATACCAATAATGATCTCATCAGAAATATCTAATTGAAGGTATACACCTTCTTATGCAACAATAACCACTGCCTTTTAGTCACAGCTAGAGAACTAATGGAGGTTCAGAGTCCTACTGTAAAACCTAGATTTCCCATTTATAATGAACCAGAGTGAGCTTTATACCAAATTCTGCCTGCATCAACAGAAGACATTTGACAGTATTTCCATTTCTGCTCTAAATTTGAGCAGCAAGGCCCCATGCTGTATTCAACACTGGGACTGTACGAAGTACATGACTGAATTCATTGACAAGCATTTCCACATTACCACAAGAGATCAGACTTTTTCTTCTGTATCTTTTCAAGACTAAGACTAAAATCACATTTCTATCTGTTCCAATATGATGACTGAGAAAGTGATTGGTCTAAAGAAAAATACCTGTACTACAAGGGTACTGTACTTCATGTCTAAAGAAAAGACTGTACTGGCATTGTACAGCCGCACAGGTAGTGAGATAACCTACCACTGCCACAAGCATGTAACAGAAGCAGTCTGAGGTGGTGTTTGTAACAGCTTCACTTCTATATGAAGAGAAAACATCTTAACAGCTGAACAGTTCCTACTCTTTCTTACTTTTCAAAGTTTGAGTATTTATCAGCTTACCCTTTTCTTTCTACTTCAGAAAGCAAGCTACTTTCAGCTTCAGAATGACACAGGTTTCCACACATGTTTATTATCAAGTGATACACAACATCACGTCAAGATACATATACCCTGGTACACACACCTGAAGTTTGAGGAAGTTGTGGCAAAAAACAGCTGAAGAAAAGAGAACATACAGTAAAAGCCTACCAATCACAGATAGCAGGGCACACACCAAACTGTAAACTAGTTCTTCTGTCAGGTACAATGTTGAATAAAGCTGGTTATGTTCTCTATCTTCCACTTCAAATTAGGAACCTAATAACAAAAGATGGCGTTTTCAAGTGCTATTGTATTAAAAAAAAAAAAAAAAAAAAATGTAATTGTGCTGTGGAGTCCTATGCCAACCTACAAACAAGAATCTGGAACATAAGCTTTTGAAGGAGATGATTTTGACACTGGAGAAAAGCCAGCAGTACTCCATAATCAAGGCACAGAATGTTCTGGCTTGTCAACAACATGTACAACAACGTATAAACTCCTGCATGAACACAAGATAAGCAATTTACATGCTTTTAGAAATGCCTGAGTCTTAACCCTGTTAGATATATCACAAATGTTGAATTAAAAAGAAGAGTTGATGGGAACACAATTTTCTGCTTTACTTTTTCCCTAACCTTTTTTCCTCGGAAAAAAGGTTTAAACCATGACAAGCAACAAAGAAGAAAGGGACAGAGAACTGCGCCATTTGCTGCACTATCAGCAGGGGTTGAGGGGAGCTGGCTTTTGGGGTGTGTGGGTTTTTTGTTCCTTTCAGGTTTGTTTCTTTCTTGTTAGGGTTTGTGGTTTGTTTTTGTTCTGTTTTTAAATTTTTTTTGTTTGCTTTTTGTTTTTTGAATAAAGGCTTGTGAGCTGTAAGTTACCCTCGTCTTGGAAAACAAGATTTTATTTTTTTTAACCCCAAACTAGCCTGGGAGAAGTCTACTACTTGGCTGATAAGAGTGGGTAATACAAGTTATCCCACAGACAACAATTAGAAAAGTGTATTATCACAGCAGCAAACACAATTCTGGACCATGCCTTTCTTCATAATAGCTTCAACATACATAATATTCTTCAATATACAAAGTAAACATTACCTCTATTGTGTAGAATTTTCTTATTTTCTAATAGCTCCTTGGGGAGACTTCGTAAGATCCATACTTAGTTCATACTTGATTTAGCTGCACTCTGCAGTTATTATTTTGAGTCAATGTGTGACTAGTTACAATGCTCATTTCACTTACAAATCTGGTAACTTTCAGGACTAAAGAGAATGAATTACATGGTATTGAAATACAGAAGAATTCATGGCAAGCTTATGGAGCTTACCAAACAGCTTGAATTCAGGCTATACAGGTACATTAAGTTGGATGCAGAGTACCAATAAAACAAGTGGAAGGTTTTGCTTCTGTTCCATTCTGAAGTGCATTTTCATCTAATCTCCAAACGATGAAATACTTTTCTTAAGATAAGTGATGTGCTCACATCCTGTTCCACACATGACTTTTCCTTCTGTTTACTCATATGCTTGTGCTTAGTACCTGCAAAGCCCTACACCTGGGTCAGGGCAATCCCAGGCACAGCTACAGGTTGGGCAGAGAAGAGATTCAGAGCAACCCTGCAGAGAAGGACTTCGGGGTGCTGGTTGATGAGGTTTGACATGAGCTGGCTTCAGTGTGTGCTTGCAGCCCAGAAATCACCCATGTCCTGGGCTGGATCAAAAGCAGCGTGACCAGCAGGTTGAAGGAGGTAAGCCTGCTCCTCTACTCCGCTCTTGTAAGACCTCACTTCTAGCACTGTGTGCACTTCTGGTATCCTCAACATAAGAAGGACATGGAGCTACTGGAGCAAGTCCAGACGAGGCCATGCAGATGATAAAGAGGGCTGGAGCACCTCCCTTATGAAGACAGGCTGAGAGAGTCGGGGCTGTTCCGCCTGGAGAAGAGAAGGCTGCGTGGAGACCTCATAGCAGCCTTCCAGTATTTGAAGGGGGCCTACAAGGATGCTGGGGAGGGACTCTTCATCAGGGACTGTAGTGATAGGACTAGGGGTAATGGATTCAAGCTTAAACAGGGGAAGTTTACATTAGATATAAGGAAGAAGTTCTTCACAGTGAGGGTGGTGAGGCACTGGA